GTACTTCTTCTGATTGTAGAGTGCGTTTCCTAGCCAATACTTGCTGTTGAGTGTGTCTTTGTGGTCTCTGCCAAGTGTCCTCTCTCGCCCGTCTACTGCTTGTTGGAGCTGGCCCTCGGCCTCACTGTAATTCTTCTGATTGTAAAGTGTACGTCCTAGTCTGAATTTTTCTCTTCCTCCATCTTGCAATCTAAGTCCTGAGGACATTCCGTTATCTTGATCCCATGTATATCTGCCTCCTATTGCTGTTGAATATCGATCCGCACATGTAGTGGTAGAAATTGGGTGGGTTAAATCGTCGCAGTGTCGCAGTTACTGGCTTTTGTCAAGCTTAAAGAATATTACACCGCAAGTATGGAGCGAATTCGATGCCCTTAACAGCTATTTAGTTCATCTCAGTTCTGTGAACCCTCTTGAAATTGACATGCGCGTGCTAGAACCAAGTCTCGTAAAGGAATATTGTATCTAGAAAATGCTACTCGGGCTTTTAAACTCACCAATATTACAGCAATAATCTTCTGATCTTTCCAATCTGTTGGATGTTCTTGCTCATTCATTTAGTCCAAATGAAAGTCAGACGCATCCTTCAGTTTAATCAGGCTACAAGGCGCTTGGGGCTGAGCTCAAGGCCCTCGGATATGGGTGTATGTTCTTCCGAAACCCGATTTTCTCGGATGTACGCGCTGCCTTAAGCTTGGCACAATTTGCCACTGCTAACAGGGGCGGCCGACCTGCTCCGGCTAGGGGGTTGTGGTATACGCGGGTAGAGGAGTACTCTCTTGAGTTGTGGCAAATCACATGCCTACAAGAATGGCCCTTGCTAAGCATATCAGGTTGGTGCCAAGACCATGTGGAGGACTCGATGATAAAGTTTTGCATGAGGCGACAATACTTTCTTGCATGCAAGGTATTCGTATTTGCTCCAAGATGTGTTAGACAGCCAACAGTCAGAGGCTGGGCTACCCGTAAGCAAAACTATGGACTAATCGTAGCTCTTTGTCTTCATATTACAAGACAATACTATTATATACATGACTGTAACGTTCCGAAAAAATTACCTGTCGCGGATTGAGTCTGAGTTCTGTTCAATGAAGGCATTCGACCGTAGCCTGGAGGCCCCACGTACATTTTTAAGTCGGGATACAGTCTAAAATTTGCCGCGACCGCAAATATACTCATACAAAGGCGTATCATTAAGTAAGTGTCCCGCGGAAGCAGGGAATTTGCCCTTCACGGGGTGTTTTGTAAATGAAAGGGTGAATTCGTCCCATTGGACCCGTAACGGGTTCAGTCAGGTCTAGAGCGAACGCGAGGGTATGTAAAGACACCTACAACCTGCAGGCGCCGGGTAGGTAAGCTTCATGTAGAATGAACCCGTGTAAAAGTCCTTAAACTAAGTGTTTGCTCTCAGGAGAGTCATGTATTAATTACGGAGTAGTGATCTGATTAACAAACGCGCCGTTCAGTCCTGCATCTCCCGAGTGGCCTCCGTAGCAGCTCGTACATCTACACTACCAGAGTCTTGGCTTTCGGGCCGGTCCTCAATTGACTTCGACACTTCGGTCGGCAGTGCCACAACGCCAGCCGGCGGAACGAATGTCTCTCCGTCTTCAAGGTCCATCTGCATGAGGAATGTTTCCCAGATTTCGATAAGCTATGAAACATGTTAGCATCAGCCATGAAGAAAGACTGAACAGCATGAAGTAATAAGACTCACCTCTTTCTGTGCTTCAACGGCACTCTCTAAGAATGTTTCAACACCCGACTTGAAGTCCTCCACCTTTTCTTTTTCAAAGCGCTCCAACTCTGCTCTCATTAAACGACCCATATCTTCAAACAGGAGGCGCGTTTGATGTACTCTCCTCTCTGCGTCTGCAACATCCGCGCTAAGTTGATTGAGTCGGTCTTGCTGGGACCTGCCCTGTCTGAGCAGTTTGTCCTGGGTAGCCTTACGCTTCTGGAGTTCGGACTCGGCATTATGCCAAGAATGATACGCCTTTTGTCTTTGCTGGAATGCCGTCTTGACGGATCCGATCAGACGAATGTACTCGTCGATGACAATGCCCATGGTCAGGACGTCCTGTTGAGCTTGGCGTTCGTACAGCTCGCGGATGCGAATCTGAATGTCGGATAGCCCATCGAGAGGACCGGAGAGAGACGGCGAGAGTTCAACAGCTGCAAGCGAATGTAGTGAGGCAGAGAAGTCTCCGCATGCCTCTGCGAGGCCCTTCCGCTGGGCAACGACTGTATCTGTGGCTTTCAGGAGAGCCCTGAGCTGGTTCTCGAGAGCATCCAGGTAGATTTTCCGGTCATGGAACCACTGAAAGAGTCAAGATGTGCGCGAATTAGGCTGAATGGAATCGACCTTACATCATCATGCTCAATGAATTTGCCTCCACCTCCAGACAACATGGACCCGAACATGCCTTTGCTCTCGCCAAGCCCAGGATCCTTCCGTTCCTTGTTCTTGATATCGACATTGAAGGCATCGCTCTCTAGGAAAAGCTTCAGATCGCTGTCATGCTGCAGAACTGGATGGTGCGTTGTCTTGTTCAGCATCCGTTCCAGCGCAGCACGTCGCGACTCGACAAAATCCGCATCGAAGCGGCCTACCGCCTGCTTCTCTGGAGGAGGCGGTATGATGACTCCGGGGTTGTTGTTGTGGAGCTGATTGTACAACCAGAGGAAGTCACGGTAGCGGCGGGAGACCGTAAACTCAGGGTTGCGGTATCCTTTGGAGGTGGTCTGAAACAATCAATGAGTGGAGAGACTTTGGTAACAACGCATGGAATAGATAAGCCTACCTTTGTGAAGACTGAATACTCCGTGTGCGAGCTGGTGAGGTCCCCAACCTTGTGCGGGTCTCCGACAGTGATTTGGAACGTGGGCTTCGCAGCCTGTTCTACACTCACACTCGGCTGTGTCTGTCGCTGAGGGGTACTGTTGCTTGGGGGCTGCACTGGGGGAGGTATCCGCGGGGTACTTGCGACTGGCGTTTCGTCCTCGTCATCGTCTAGGTTCACCGAATCCATCATGCCCCGAATGGAAGACGTGGAGGCAGGGGCTGCGGCAGTCGGTCGAGGGCTACGAGACGGCACCGGCTCCTTCTGTGGGGGTGCTGGAGGGGCTTCGAGACCTCCCGAAGGAGGCGTGGGAGCCCCCAGAGGTCCCAGAGGATCGTCTACGGCCTCGAGTCGGGTTGGTTGCGGGCCATACTGGCGTCTCCTGGGACCGCGTGTTGCTGGAGATCGCGGCGCCACGGAAACGTTCGGGACGGTGCTGGCGGAGGCTTTGGAGGGGGCACCAGATTCCACACTGTCCTCCTGTGGTGTCTTGGGCGGGTTCTGTGATGCCTTATTTCGCGAGGGCTCGTCTGCAGCCACAGATTAGCCATGTATTGAGGAGTCGTGCGAGTCGCAGCCGGCTTACCTCCCCACGGAGAGCTCCCCTCATCACCGAGATCCATTGCGTGTTGTGGTGGAGCCTTGGAAGGTTGTGGTTGGGGTGTTGTAGGTTGTGCTTCCTCTATGCGGCTTCCCATGCTCGGTCTTGGCATTCGACAGCCCACTCTCCACTATCGAAGCCAAAACGGTGTCACCCCCATCACCATTATCCCGTGACGAAACTGTTTCTAATACACCTTTCTTATTATATCAAACATTAATCGCTAGCACTAACGATAAATTCCACGTTAACTTTGCATCATGTCAACTCCGCCAGGGAGAAACACCATTACATCCACTCTCCCTCTCATAGTCTGATCCGTCATCTGCATCCTCACATGGCTTCTTATGCTTCCATCTGTAGCTTTGGTCTGTCATTCTATTTCCCTGCTATGACCGCCGTGTGTCGTTAAGCGTTGGAGAGTTTCATTGGTACACTTGTTCGAACATTCGATCCTACGTTTGACAGTTGCGGCACAGGCTCGTTTCTTCTGTAGGTTGGAAATGAGAGGTACAAGTGGCCTCCATACTACATTCCATCAGTTATCTTCAAACTTCGACTCTATTTACGGGAGTGATGACAGATATTTAAGGCGCCCACGCCACCATGGACCCTCCTCACTACTCATCGCAACTGAGCCAACTGTCCTCTCACTCTCATTAGTACTCAACATATAAAAGCCAGTGACTTGGCATTCTATCCTTACATCTCTTTCACTAGACTTGCCAACCTCGCAATGCACTCTTTCGCTAAATTTGTTACTTTGTTTCTTGCTGGGGCTGATGCCGTTGCCCTGGGGTCTCCATTTACTGCCACACCTATTACCTCCTCAGTTAACACTGGAAGCCCAGCAAATGTTTCTGCTGGAAATTTTGATGGGTGTGCTTCCTTAACATCTGCTGGTTTCTCTGTATCATGCTCAACAGTGGCCGCTGCACCTTCGCACGCCTCAGGGTTCCCGAAGCCAGTCAGCCATGCAATAAAGCGCCCAGATTGCTATCTAGACATCTCAGGATCGTTCATGGAGAGCATTGATCAGAACAGATATACCAAGAACCTTCCAGTGAAGCCGACGTAAGTTATATAATGGCCCTATACTCCTTATTAAGTCTGATAATGATTTAGGAAGTTACCCTGCTGGACCGTGGGTGCAACGAACTCAACGAAGCCCTGGTTTTCTACCGGATCGTGGGGTATTCCTTCCGGAACAGAAAGTAAGGTGCCTCCAGCAACGATCCCACCTGAGACTTTGACAACTCTCATCGAGGGAGAAGTTTTTTCAACCCCGATTGTGCAGCCGTCTTCAATTGTCGCATATACAAACCTGCCGATTTCTACAACGGTCGGCGACATTCCTTTTTTCACAGACAGTGATGACTCCCCAGGGCCTACACTCACCGACGACCCTATTACCGGCGTTCCTATTGCTGGTCCAACATCTGTCTCTGGCATATATCCTCCCGTGATATCCAACCGAACTATCAGCTTTTCAGGAACAGGGACAGGTATAACCTCCCACTCCCACGTGTGGACTCCACTTGTATCGACTGTGATAAGATACTAAGTTCGAGCACCTTCGCTAGTGGAGAAATGAAGGGATTAGGTCAGACCGAGACCGCTAGGACGGGAGGCATTCCATGCTGTTTGGGTGTACCAGATTTTTGAATAATCGAAATATCGCCCCTTTAGAGATATCCAAATAAGTTCCCTTTACCCCATCAGAAGAATACTTGAAGTCAATTGCATTTGGTAATTAATTGGTATCTTACTCTTCTCCAAATATTGAACTGATTATGACCGTGACAACTATCCCATATGTTCTCGAATGCTGCAACCCATACGAGGATCAAGCGACCTGCCCGTCAGATGAGTTCACAACCTCGGTGCTTGCAAACAAGCCTTTCCATGCTCACAAGTATAGTACACCTTCCCATCATCCACCCCTCGTATCGTGCCCTTCACGACCCCCATCCTCTTTCCTAAATGCACAACCTCGCTCTCCACCAAAACCGTCTCGCCCTCCTTCGCTGGCCGCAAATACGTGCAATTCAGCGTCCGAGACACATGTCCCGCGTCCCAGAACCCCGGCCTAGCGACGGCGGAAATGGAGACTGAGGTGCAAATATCGAAGATGAGGGCAACAGCGCCGCCGTGCAGGGTTCCAGACATGTTGCATAGTGTGCTAGGGATTGTGAGAGAGAAGACGGAGGTGCTATGATGTGGATGTGAGGGCGTGGGGGAAGAGTCAGCGGACAGGAGGGTTAGATGTGTTGGGAGCATTGAGTCGTGACCCTAGTGGTTTGTTATTAGCAATTGTTCGGAGAAGTGGTAGGGTGGACGGTGCGTACATCATAGCCTTCCATGGACGCAGTTTCGAACCAGATCTTGGCTTTCTCGAATGCCGTCATGTTAACTTCCGCGGCCGTTCGTGTGAATCTTTGTGCTCGGCTACCCATTAGGAGAATTTGTAGCAAGAGTTGGTAAGAATATGGAAGGATGCTAAAAAGAAGAAAATCTTGAAGCAGAAGTCAGAGTCTATCAGATTATATCATGGTGGAAGATGTAAAAGAGCTAGAAGAGCTTTATCTAAAGATATGCTCGTCGCATTCCGTATGGAGCTCACTACTCAAATGAACCTCGGCAAGTCGACGATGGCTTGACTAAGCGACGCTAAGCCATTTACAATTTCAACTTGGAAAAATCCAAGCCATGCCTTCCGTCCCCACTATCCCACAGCTCGACACAATGGATTCTCCTGTCCTCCTCCGCCAACTCCTCCGATTACCGCCGCAGTTTCTGCACATCATCAGCGTACCGCTGCGACCACAATCCCGCAACCTCGCCCTTCTCAACCACACCCACCCCTCCCCTTCCCGATACATCTCCACCGAGTCCCTCCCGCGCGTCGCACAACCCACCTTCTGGTCATCTCTGATTCCAAGGTTTCCTCGGAACCACTCCGTACACTCTCCGCCGAAGAGCAAACAACGGAACCCCGCAACTCCCTACATCGTCCTCTCCATGCTTGTCGGGTCCCAAGCCATCCAGACGCTATGGCTGAAGAGGGACATGGATCACTTCGCTCGTCGTGCGGAGGCTAAGCTGGGAGTTCTGAGAGAGGTGGTTGAGCGCGTGCAGAGAGGGGAGGATGTTGATGTTGAGAAGGTGCTTGGGACTGGGGTGGAAGGGGAGGAGAGAGCGTGGCAGGAAGTGATTAAGGAGATTGAGGAAGAGGAGCTGCTCTTCCAAAGTAAGAAGAGGAGGAGGGCGGCTAGGCAGGCCGAGGCTAAGGAAGAAGCAGGAGGAGCGGGCTCAGCGTCCCTAGAAGCACAGAAACTGGAGGCTAAGATTCCAGATGGAAAGGTCCATGTTGAGGCCTATCGAGGTGCAAAGTTCTATTGAAGAATTCGAGATAGAAGATAAAGGAGTAGGTTCTCTAGGTAATCTCTTGACGACGTCGTCAATTGATGCACGTTCATCGTGTGATTGAGACTTCTTGGGATACTGGTCAAGAACACTAGCGAACCTTCTTGCCCATCCGAGTGTACGATGCTACCCTTGTACGACAATGTTAAACACACAATTCAGGTGCGACTTCAAGGAGAGGTATTCCGTATATCTCTCTTGAATCTCTCCACAGCCCTCTGCTTCGTCTCTTTCCAGTTGACATGTGGTTTTAGATATCCCAATTTCTCAAATTCTTCCTTGGGCAGCCGGTCATAGGGTGCGAAGATTGCTTTTCCTTTGACGTCTTTCAGCTCGGGCACCCCTTGGCCCGGTCAGCTCCAGAATCGTCAGAGTGGATGTCCAACGTACATTTTCGGATATAATCCCCATCAGGGTCATTCTTCTCCGCTTGTGATACAGGATTGAAGACAGTGTAGTTCGGCTCCCACCCCTGCGTGTTATTTGAAAAATCCCAATCGATCAACGTCTCCGCAAAATAACGCTCTCCACGACGATAATCGATGAGCAAATTGCAAAACAAATACGATGAAACATTCATGCGAAGTCGATTATGCATGTAAGCCTCGGTATTCAACTGCCTCATTCCTGCGTCGATGAAAGGCTCACCTGTCCTTCCCTCACACCACTTCTTCCAGCCTTCTTCATCCTCTTCCCATTGCACGAAGTCGAATTTGAGGTTTTGTGGTAGATTCATCGCAGTATGCAGAGTAGTGAGCGTTGTTTGGCAGTATAGTTCCCGGAACACCACTTCACGGACCCAACTATAGACTCCAGGACTTGATCCAGCTTCGCTAAAATCATTACTTCCATCGTTGTATTCCTGGACTTTGGACAAGGTTTCTCGCACCGATACCATTCCCGCTGAAAAGTATGCGCTCATACGCGAAGTGGAATCCTTGGCGGGATTAGACCGAGTAGCGGCGTAATTGTCGATATGTTTGAGGAAGGAATCCATGCGCTTCATCCCTGCATCGTGTCCTACTGGCCAAAGCTTCTGGACTCTGTTTTTGTCTTCTTCTGAGGGGAATAGTTTGTCTTTTGCGGGCCTTGGAACCAGTGAATCGAACAACCCCTTGAGTTCTTTCGACGCCGATGAGCTGTTCTTCGTGGGTCGTGATACGGTTTTTAGCAGGTCAGGATCTCCCTTCACGACATCGAGCCACATGCGATGGTAGTGCGAAAACACCTTCATAGGTCTGCCGGAGCCGGTGGTCAATGTACCGGGCTCGATCACGGTTTGGTCGTGGTGTAGGGACACCCGGAAGTCGGAGCCACCTTCTTTTACAAACTCAATATCTCGGCGGAGCTCATCGATCTCGTATTCGTAATTTGCGAAGACGTGAGATACCGAGTTGTCTTTCAGAAACTTAGTTACTGTAGAAGCGATCTGGTCGGGTTTGTCCGCGTGGAGAAAGACGAGTGGGATATTCAATTCCTTTAATTCCCTTTGCATTCCCGCGAGAGCTTCGAGCATAAAGTTGACACGAGCGGGGCTGGTGCCATGCCAGGATTCTTCGGCTGGGCAGTTGAGATAGATGCAGATAAGCGGTTTCTTGGAATTTTGCGCCAGCTCCGAGGCATGGTGCAGGTGAGAGCTTCGAGGAGGAGGTCGTATGGTCGATCTTCATCGATTTGTTTGGCACGTTTTGTGCCAGGGCGTTTGACTTCAGGACGCTCGAGCGTGGTGCGTTTGGTAATTCGGGGCCGCTTCGCTGGGGATTTGAAATTGGAATCAAACTTGGACTTATGGGAAATCGTAGGATATCGAAGTGGAGTTGAGGTTTCGAGACTGCGCAGCTGAAGTCGCACTGGGTTACGGAAGCTGGTTGACAATCGTGTAGAGAAATAGGAGCCCGGAGCTCTGGAGTTGAAGAGAATCCTCTTCAGATGCATCAAGAGAAATTAGATACGACTATGCCCGCGCGTACCTGCATCAGAATTAAGGGTTACACGTGAAAGGGACGAAAGTGAAGTCGTGACGTCTTTGCAGCTATGGGGCTAAACTAAATCGGGCTTGCAATTCACAATCTAGGTTCTACAGATCTTAAAGGCACGACGATCCGATTTGATCATGAAGGTGCCAGATCCTGGAGGGATGCCTTTTTTGTCTTGGTGCTAGTAAGACAGCTTTTGGAGTCGTCACCTAGCTCAGAACAAAAGACATGACCGGGTTTTGCGGAACAGAAAATTTCATCCTACCAACGCTCCCCCTTATTTCAGCAAGAGGTTTAACAGATAGACTAGTCTTGGCTAAGTTCCACATTCTGGTAGTAACATGCTGGAGAGGGAAGGGTGATGCTGTGTACTCTCCACTGTGAACTCACAATACTGCTCCACATGAGGAACAGCCGATTTATGCTCATGGTCCTGTCAATGTTCACGGGTATGTCATTCCTACCTTGCATCACCATTGTCCAATAATTAATCTAGCCTGCAGAGAGCGCGCAGCCTAATATCAAAGGAACCTGACCGGCAGGATCCATGTACCTTTGCCAAGCAATACACGGGGACGAATCACCGCTGAGCACAGCTTGCACGTTGCCGCCAAGCAGCAACAGTGCCAGGCAGACGACCCCTCGCGATGTCGCGAAACGAGTATCTCAACCTCATTTAGGAAGCTCGAAAGCCTGCAAGATGACATTCTCCCCCGCCGAGAACCAGACAGTGGGAAAGCCTCGTTTCCCGGTTGCTGGACTGCTGAACACTCCAGCAGTGAGAGTGCTTCAAAGTGACACGGGGAACGCTAGAGCCCTTCCACCGCGTGCGCCGTTCGTGTTGGCACTTCGCTCTTGCCGATAGCAGTCCTGATTGTCGTGCGTGGGTCCACGGACTTGGGATGGATGCACATGCAGGTCCGGGGCAGCCCCGGGAGCTTATAAAAGGCTCTTTGCAGCTTTCTAAATTTCAGACGCGTCGCGGTTTCCCCACTTCTCCGCTGTCATTATGAGGATCCAAAGGTCAATTGGTCTGGGGGCTGCGTTACTGGTGCGTGTCAGTCTTGCTCAGACATTTCAGCGCCTTGGGACCTGTCCAACTCTCGGTATGCACTTAAATCTCAACTATTTCGTTTTTGATGATATGTTAACAAGACCCCAGGATGCGTGTTTCCACCAGACCAGTAAGTGAATTCATGACAGTGTGGCTTACAAGCTCATGGTACCATTCAGAACCGACTTCTTAGCCGGCCAGTACTTCGACATTCGTCTTGAAGTCCACGCACCAATCAATGGCTCCGAGGCAAACGGAAAGCAACCGGATGAGAAGTTTACCTTTACAATTGCCAAAAAGAACGAAAAGGCTGTGCCGGCGACAGAATACTTCAGCCTTTCGGAGCCCAAATTGGAGCGCTGGAACTTCTCGTGGTACGAGGGTAAGTCGGCATATTGACGGCGCTTGGAAGGGCCAGAAGCTAAATTTATCTAGATCTTTTTGCCAAAGAAGCCGGAAAGCCATCGGTTGTCAATGTCACGTCGAAGGCGTACCGAAAGGTAGCTCTCTACGAGCCTGGAGGTATACTATCTGCAACTCTAGCGTTGCGACCGCAGGCTGATATATGCTGTAGAATACACTGCCACTCTCACATATAACAATGGTAGCACTACCAAAGCAAGCTGGCTGGTGCGGGACCTGCAGGAAGTCCGCAAGGCCAAGAATATCATCCTCTTCATCGGGGATGGAATGACGACCAACATGATCACGGCTGCCCGTTTAATCGCTCACAAGGCAGTCAACGGGCGTTACCAAACAAAGATGCAGATGGACCAATTCCCCATCTTAGGACACCAAATGACTCACTCCATCGACTCCTTCATTACCGATTCTGCCAACTCAGCTACGGCTCTTTACACAGGACACAAGAGCACTGTGAATTGCCTTGGTGTTTACGCCGATTCTAGCAAGGACCCATTTGATGACCCGAAAGTGGAAACTATTGCTGAGATGTTCTTCCGTCTTACCGGCGGCCACGTGGGCATAGTCTCGACAGCGTTCATTGCTGATGCAACACCTGCGGCTTTAACCGCCCACACCCGAGACCGTGGCCAATACGGTGCGGTCGTTGATTCTTTCCTCAACGGAATAACGAATTACACGTGGACGAATTGGACTGGACCCGATGTTCTGTTTGGCGGTGGCGCTGAGCAATTCTACGACCCGAAGCTTGGTGGAAAGACTTACTTGAATAAGGACTATTATCAAGAATTCTCAAAGAAGGGATACCAAGTTCTCTGGAACAACACTGCGCTTTCGAAGGCCAGCAATGACAGCAAGGCCCTCGGTATCTTCACTGTGTCCAATATGGCCAAATGGCTTGACAGGAATGTAAGTTAGCCTAACATACGTCTTCTCCTGGAACAAGCCTAACTCCCCTTTTAGGTCTACAAAACCAACCTCAACCAATCGCTCTCGCCCTCAGGCGACAAGACCGCCGCCCTTGACCAGCCAGGCCTCAAAGAGATGACTCTAAAAGCAATCGATATCCTCGCCAAGCGATCCGGAGACAAGGGCTTCTTCATCATGTCCGAAGCCGCCTCCATCGACAAAATGATGCACGTCCTCGATTACGACCGCGCACTCGGCGAGCTCCTCGAACTCGACGACACCATCAAAGCCACCATTGCCAAACTCAAAGCTATCAACCAATTCAAAGAAACCCTCATTCTTGTCACCGCCGACCACGGCCACGGCTTCGACGTCATGGGCTCCGTCGACACAAAATATCTCGCTGCCCAGAACGTCGACCGCAAGAAGCGCGATGCTGTTGGAACGTACCAGAACTCTGGTCTGTCGCAATACGCACACTCTGGAAATTTGTCATACACTGAAGGCGTGCACTTCCCCTCAAACTGGGATCCTCGATATACTCTCTTCCAGGGCCTGATGGCCGACCCCGATCGCCGGGAAAATTGGAGCGTGCATAAGGGCGGACCACGTGTGCCCGCTGTTAACATTACACCATCTGCGGATTTCTATGCTAACCCTAAGGATGGTGCCGGAGGATTATTGCTGAATGGCACGCTTCCCGTAGGAGATGACCAGGGTGTGCACAGCTTGACAGATGTCCCCGTGTTTGCTATGGGGCCTTGTCAAGAGCACTTCGGAGGTGTGTATAATAGCATCGATATCTTCTTCGGGATGGCGGAGTGTTTCGGATTAGCGAGGAGGAAGGGGTATGGTCAGTAGGACTCGCGGGGATGGTGTGCGATATGCGATGAAGTAATGAGTTGCAAAGGGAGTCTGCTTAATGGTATGAAAATGTTTAATGATATTATTATTTACACATGCACATTTGAGGTCACACGCCCATAACTCTTTGTACATAAAAGCCGGCAAGGAAATAGTGGCATTCTACTCATAAAGTTCCACCGGCCCTACGCGATTTGCCAACAACAGGAGTCTATGAGACGAATACAACGCCTTCAAACCGCAGACCAAAGTCTCCCGTCTCAATTTTATGCCCACAGGTTCTTTGATATCGCTACCGCAACAAGCAAGTCCATGCTAATACTCCAGCCCCATGTCGTGACCTGAATCAGCAATGTCTCTTAGACTTATAATAGATACCAGTCGATATATAAGCAAAAAAGCCTACATTGGTAGCTAGGTACGGAGAATGAACGAATGATTGAGAAAGAGATATAGAGTAGCCTAGGCTCAATGCGAATATGTGCACGGCCACAGGAGGGAAAAGACTTGACTAGCCACAAAGCATTTTTCAAGTAACTCCTTCCTACAAAGGTGATGGCAAAGGTTGCTCTTTCACTTCTTCCAGAAACACTGCTCCAATATCTCCTTTCACTCTTACCATAGTTTCCATATCAATCACTGCCAAGAAATAGGCGTAATAAGTAAACAAACGCGTGTTGTTAACGCGAACCCCACGTGATGTCACTCCTTCATTTTCATTCCAAAACTTTGCAAGGTTTCCTACTTATAATAAAAACCTGTTCCCTCAATCTCGCTACCAAATTCCTATCTATCACACCTTGCATCAAATCCAGCCCGGCCAAAACAACTCCCTACATTCCATCTCATCACGGCATGGAGTCAATCCCACCATCTTATCCCCCAGCCAAGGGGACTGCGACACCGCCCTGTTTCTCCCCAACAGCAACTTTATCTTCACCGCAACCTGCTACCAACTCAACCCCAAGTTCGTTCTCGGCCAAACCTTCTCACAGTCGCCAGGATATCGCACCGAACCCGAATAAATGTCAACGCTGTCGAATGAGCAAGAAGGGTTGTGACGGCAAGAAGCCCGTATGTAGCCGCTGCTCTCAGCGAGGTACTCAGTGCGTCTATGGTGCTGCTATTGCGAAAGACGGAAACTCAAACGTCGCTATGCCGAAGAAGGTCGCTGGAGTCAAGCGAGGGATTGGTAGTATGCAAGGTGAGTTTGCTGGATTGATGCCAGTGCCAGAGCAGGGAATGGTGAAGGTGGAAGCTTTAGACACCGTGGCTGTGGATATGGATATCTATGGAAATGTGAAAACGAAGGCAGTATGGAAAAATGACAAGGCAACAGCGACAACGTCTAAGACTAGAGCCAAGCGTTCTAGAATTCCCCACTCGCACGCCCTTAACAAGAGGATCGAGGTTGAATATGTAGAATACTCTCCTGATAAAGCCCAACAATTTCTCACCCAAGAGACGGACGTCGCCATGGAGGAGGCTCTCCTCGATGCCGAAGACATTCAAGCCCAGGATACGGATAGAGGAAACGATACCTGTTTCCGGATCATTGAGTTCGGGGATATGGATCTCAAACATCTCTCACCTAACTTACAAGTCGAGTGGCAAGAAATCGCAGCAATGGTGTACAATGCGCTCTATTTTGGCGAGGAGTTAGTTGAAGACGTGGACGGGGAGAAGAAGGCTCAACTTCGACAGCTAGTAGAAGATCTCATAGCGTTGCAGTCACAGAGGAAGGATGCTCCGGAACTAGTGGTAGCGTTGGGGAAGTTGGTGGCAACGGTACGGTTCTTCTATGACTTCTATGAGCATTTCGGAAGGTGTGCGGTCTCTCTTCGTATGCTTAGGGGAGCATGGAACATATAATTTGCGCGGACGTGGTGGTGGTAGGCTAGGATCTTGGTGGGAGATTGGTTGACGGTTTCGCCTTGCGCCTGGCGGTGTAGCTATTATCTTTCATCGTCACCTTTCCAGACAGTCAATTGCCGTAAGTCTAGGCATATTAGACCCATTTCTTCGGAGGCCGCAGCGATATGCAGTTAAAGAGCCACAGCACTGAATTGGGATAGGATTAGCAATAACACAACGACACTTGCATTAGCCGTTGAGTCACTCAAACCAGCTTGGCTGGAATAGTGGCATGATTTGGACGAAAACAGTTGCATGCAGCAACACAAATATTAGGATTAATCCTAATCTAGGGTGCATTGCAGATATCTCTATTAATCACTGTACATCTTGCTAAGTCTTTTCTCTTATTAGTTTAAAAAAGAGCTAGATTAATGTCTAATTAGCCTATAAAACTTTCTACTACTTTTGCTAATATTCTGTAACGGCGCAGGCAAGACAATAGGTCCGAATGCGGTGGGAATCCACTCAGAGGCATATGGGAGTGCGTGGGGACTCTGAACCTGGGAATGCCATTAACACCTATAGGCCTTGTACAAAAGGATATTAGAAAACTACTAAGCTAGCTACAGGGCAAAGTGCGACTAAATACATGAGGGAATAAGAGTACAGCAGGGGGCAGGGCAGAGTTAGGGCTAATACAGGGGCCTTTTAGAGGTTCTAGGCAACCTAACAATTTATAAGAATTAAGTTAGAGTTAGAGCTAATACAGGGACCCTTTAGATAAGTTCTAGGCAACCTAAGATAGAACAAGAATTGTTACACTACCCCCCTCTCTATAGACTAATAGTCCCTATTAGTAGTAATTATAGTACAAAGTATTGCTGTTATGTCCTCTGCCTTCTTAAACTAAAACTAGTCTAATTTAGCTAGGTGTCCTTGCTAAGTATTCCTTCGCACTGCCAGCGGTGTCTTCTAAACCTAAACGCCATGCGTGCGCGCTAGCTCTAATAGTAATCTGTATTAATGTCTAGCCTGTTAAGAATTAAGGCTTGCTATTATTCTTTGCTATCTGTGCAGTTATTAATTTTAGGCGTGCGTTTAGTAAGGTAGCATTAGGTATTATTAGAGGTGCCTAAAAAGTCTCTTGCTATTAGGGTAGCAGAGGTGATTTAAGGCATTATTAGAGGTGATTTAGTAGTTGCCTAGTAGTGTTTTAGTAGATTAGCTGCTTAAGCTGTGCTTGTAATTAAACATAGATATACTACTAGAGGTTAACTTTAAATTAGGTAGGTCTAGCTTTAGGTCCTGCAGACGCAGGTTTAGCTGTTAACAGGGTGGTAGTTAGTAGTTAGAGGTTAAAAGTTAAGCATTAGCAGTTGTCTCTAATCTTAATAAGTTATTAGTAGTCTCTAAGTTTCTACTTTAGCACATTTTTTATAACTTTTCTAAAGGTAATCTTAATTACATAGAGATAGAAAGTTCTAAACCTAAAGGCTTTAGTTAACTAGAAGTTAATAAAATCTAGTTTATAAACTAAATAGTTTAATATAATAGTGTGTAAGTATTACAACCTAAACTAAATTAGACGCGTCTTAGGCTTAGATGTAGTTAAATAAATAATTAGTGCAATATTATACAAGGCTGTTACTAGTAAAAGTAAGTTTTCTAATATAATGTAACAGCGCAGGCAAGACAATAGGTCTAAATGCAGTGGGAATCCACTTAGAGGCATATAGGAGTGCGTGGGGACTCTAAACCTAGGAATGCCATTAACACCTATAGGCCTTGTATAAAAGGATATTAGAAAACTACTAAGCTAGCTACAGGGCAAGGTGCAACTAAATACATAAGGGAATAGGGGTACAGCAGGGGGCAGGGCAGAGTTAGGGCCGATACGGGGGCCTTCCGGAGGTTCCGGGCGACCTGACGATTCATGAGAATCAAGTCAGGGTTGGAGCCAATACAGGGACCCTTCGGATAGGTTCCGGGCGACCTGAGATGGAACAAGAATTGTTACAACTTTTGCTAACATTCTAGATTTTTAAGGCAAATAAATATATGTTACTAGGTTTATTACTATATTCTAGATGTTTTAATGTAATATTATAATGCTATGTTCTATTATTAGTAGGCTAAAGTTTACCTTTTTATTACTATTTATAGTTTTAAGGTGTTACTAAGCTAGAATTAGTGTGTTAGTATTTATATTCTAGTACTATCCTCTTTTCTTAGTTATATCTGTCTAATTCTAGCTAGATATTTGTAGATATTTGTAGATATCTACTAACACTGTTACTTAGGCTTTGTATTGTAACGATTCTACGAATCGTTCCATCTCGGGTCGCTCGGATCCTATCCGAAGGGTCCCCGTATCGGCCCCGACCATGACTCGACCCAGTCCCCC